AGAGAGAGAGAGAGAGAGAGAGAGAGAGAGAGAGAGAGCTCAGAGAGAGAGAGAGAGAGAGAGAAAGAGAGCCATGCATGCACTGCACTGCTTCTACCTGCGTCCGTCTCGCCTGGTCAGTTGATCTAACCAGCCCTCTCGAATCGCGCGGGCCGTGGCCTGCTTTGCCTGATTTATTTTGGTAGCCTCGGCCTAGGCCTATTGCCAGTGGTTCCTGGGCTGGGAATAGTTTCTGGGCCTATCCCCAGTGTCACTGGGAATAGTGCTTTCCCTACGCTAATCATAGAGTATAGAGTTCAGAGTGGTCGCTCGTTACGGAAGTCCTCCCCGGACGGCGGATTGAAACGCGAGAAAAGTAAACAATTAGATCTACCGATGATGGCAGTTGAAGTTGATTATAAACAGTGTGGACAACAAATACGTTCTTTATCTTTTCGCGACGTTAAGTGTACCTTATCGATGTAACTCCTAACTCGATTTCTCATCGAACAGAGATTGAGACAACCTGATCCCTTTGCATTGTGTATTTCGTCTTCGGGGGCTTCAGCCTTCACACTTCCCTCCGAGGCCGCCATTTTTGTTTACTTCCTTTAGAAACCAATGAAAATGTAGAATCTATAGTGTTGTAAAAAGTATGAAGATGCTTGATTAAACGAAAGAATCTTTTTACACAACATTGAACACTTTTTTCTGGGTCCCACCCCCTTTCTTTTTTAAAGTGCCAAATGTCGTCATCGAGTTTGTAATAGTGTTCATACTAATTTTGAATATTCCAAACGTTACTAGAAGCTTTCTGTATCTTTTTCTTTTCAATGCAAGTGTTTTAACACCTCCACCGACACACTTTAAGTTTCTTTAAGAGGCGGACACTGCTTGTCAAGGCCAATCCGGGCTGCGAACTGAGGAGGATACAAGCCAGCACAAGGAGGAGACACTCGATTAAATTGTATTTTTTTAAAATCTCTCACTCGGAAATCGGGCCCTGGTCTCCTGCGCACAACAACGAAACACCTCCCGCTACACTACAGTGGCAAGTGGTTGTCTTTCTCAAATTATGAGTCAGAATAAAAGAGAACGATGTTTGCTGCCATGAATAAAAGATGATATTGTGTTTGGCGATCTTAGTAGCGATAATGTAAGAGATGTGAATACCTTGGGCCTGCTGTTATTTTATTCTATTTTTTATTTTTTATTTTTTTAAAAATTTTTTGCTGTTGTTGTTTCTGCTGGTGCAGTTGCTGCTGCTGCTGCTGCCTTTGCTACTGCTGTTTGTATTGCCAGCTACTGCTACTGCCGTATATTCTATCAAAGATCATTAATGATCCTGCTGCCGGTGCGGTTATCGGGGCCCTGTCCAAGAGACATGGGAGCAAAGAATAGGGCCACGTGGTGTACCCGTAAAGTACAAGTCATAGAAAGCGACTAAGGTCGGTTGGGCAAATGGTTAGCAGCCCTTTAAAATCTCGTAAAACTAAGAACAAAAACAGCTACAAAAACATAAACAGGAAAAACACCACCACCGACAGTTCAGGAAGATGGAAGACCTTCATCACCGAAGAGAGGAGGAAAAATGAAGAGTAGAATGACGCAGGATGGTGAAAGCCAAAAGCAAGGAAGCCACCAAACCGACATGGGGGCGACCGGTACAAGCGGAACTAGAAAAGGCGGGGACGTCATGGAAACAGCTAGAAAAGGATGCACAGGACAGGCTGCTGGAGAAATGTTGTTGATGGCCTATGCTCCTCTGGGAGTTCAAACGGGCAAGAATGAGAGATGATGAATGTTACGAATTGTGTTATAATTACCTTGTTCCTATTTTGTCGCCTACTGAAAGTACATGTTAAGCTGTCTAGAGGGGCGTGGGCACATATGCTTCATCCCAAACTCCTCCCACTCATAAAACACATTTCTGTCTGGATTTTACTTTAAAAACTTGATCAAACTCTCCCAAAAAAGTAGATTAATTTGCAGTCTCCAAAGGCTCTCAACCTTTGAAAGACGTCAATTTTTGTGGCCATTTTCTTCATAATTTTGCCTCTGGCACCTGCGCGACCCAAAAAACATACAATATGAATTCCGGATTTGTTTTCATTCACAACTCAGAGTCGCCGCCTCGAGTAAGATTCTTCCGTGATATCTACAGGCCAT